ATCCTTGGGGCATGTGGCTCCTAGGGAAACAATTAGCAAAAATTTCTTCTCAGGAGTGGTGATGCAGTGGAATAGGATGCTCAGGGAGGTGGTGGAGTCACCATCCCTGCAGGTACTTAAGAACCATGAAGATGTGGCATTGAGGGATATGGGCAGTGGGCCTGGTGGGATGGACTGGTGTTCACTTGGGGATTTAGAAGTCTTCTCCAACCTTAATGATTCTGTGATTCTAAAAGGTGCACAGAAATGGCTCGGAGGACAGAAACCAGGTGACACAGAAATAGTGGACAAAACACTAGGGCTGCAGGAATTTATTCCTCTTTCGTCTTCTCCCAGACACTTGGTCTCAGGTGCTTCCGGCCAAATTTCTTTAGCTCTTTTCCCTCAAGGTCTCTTCTCCTGGGCACAGCAGCTGGGCAGCACTCACTTGCTGTTCAGAGTGGCTCAGGGCAGCGAGGCATCCCAAAAATCTTCTTGACCAGATGCCAGCCCTGTTCCCTCTCTGTCCCTCTCTGTGTTTTTCAGACCTGATTTCCTCCTTGCGTGCCAGAGAGCCTCAGGAAGGAGAGAGGGAGAGTCAGCATGCTCGGGGTGTCGGGGAGGGGGGAGAAAAAATAATGAAATAAAAGGCACGCTGCAATAGAGAGAGGGCCAAGAAAAATATTCAATCCAAACAATGAACATTGTCATTTCCTCCCACAGTCTGCATTCCCCGTCAACTTCCCTGGGCAAGCTGGAGAGCCAAGAATTGCCGGGCTCCTTGCCCCACCAGCAGCAGCAAGGAAGGGGATGCATCCTGGGGACAGTGTGCTGTAGCATCCCTCTAACAGTGGCTGTGGCTGGAGAGATGGAGAGCAGCCTGCTTTCTCTATAGGGAAACAGTGCTTTGGACTGGTGTTGAAGGGATGGGACAAGGACTTTTCCATGAGGGGTTTTCCAGGGACACAAGTGAAGACCATGGGGTGGTGGATGCGTGGAGGGTTGAGTAAACCTGGCTTTTAACAGGGCTTTGGGCACTCTTTGTGTCCTCCTTGAGACTTCCTGGAATAGCAGAGCTTTCCTGGGGCTGCAATGGGGCGGCAAAGAAGGAAACACACGGAGGTGACCCCTGCCTCCAACTCCAGAACAGCTCAATGTCCTGTGGCCATCAGCCTGGCTTTGGGCTGACACTCATCAACCACCAACTGGTTTCCACCTGTGCGAGGTGAGAGTCACTGCTTTCTTGTGTCTGGTGCTGAGCACATGTTGATGCTCCTGGAAAACCAAGTGCACAGCAAGTAGAGGCATGTCCCTGCAGAGGTTATCACCCAGCCATGACCCTGCTTCCTTTACTGCACCATCTCCCTTTGATCTCCAGTCTTCCCATGGAGTTTGGCAATGACATCTCCAGGGCTGGTCTCTGCCTGTTGCCCATGCCAGAATGGTGCTTCCCTGCTCTTCTGGGGCTGCTGTGAGAGCTACAGCTGAGAAGAACAAAGGCACCTGCAGGGTAAAACATGGCCATCCCAGAATGCAGAGGGTCTGAAGTCCATCAAAATACTGTTTCCCAAAGGAAAGGATACAAAGACAGCAAGAGGTCTGATGGCTTGGTAAAAGCACAAGAGCAGTCTTCATGCCCTCCTTACATGGAATCAGTGTGGCTGCAAAGCACAGAACCTGCACAGCATCCTAGAGGCTGGGAGGAAATATTTTGCTTACGGAGGCTGAATTCTGAAACTAGGATCTGGGCTTTCTCTAGCTGTAGGCAGATGGAAATCGCAAGCGTTTTCCACAGCAGCACAGAAGAGCTGTTCAGTACGTAATTGGCCAGGTGCACATTGCATTTTTTTTCTTTTTTCCACCTTTCTCTGAAGCATCTGGAATGGGTCATTGCCAGTAGATAGGTACTGGGCCTTCAGGTCTGCTCAACCAGAGCAAGGCCTGCATTTCTGAGAAATGCTGTTCACCAAGTGCCCATGACGCAGCACCAAAATATGTGCAATACTGATGGCATCTGTGGTTTATCCGTTCTGCTTTGCTGCCTTCCCCAAACCCAGCCTCTCTGGCTGCCTTGCTCACCGCTGTTCCTGTCACACCCTTCCAAGCTCTTTCACAGTGAATCAACCTACATATAAGATTGAAGAAAAGCATCTGGACCCCATCCACCTAGCTGATGACTCTGGGACAAGAACAAAGGAGGTGGCCCCATGCTCCCATATTGTCTGGTCTGGTTCATCTGCAGAGACAGAGCCAGCAGCCTCAGCTCCTACTCTGAGGACACTAAAAGAGTGGAAGAAAATGCTGTGAGCAAAATACTTGGTGCACAGTTACTATTTTTATTAGGGCAGCGCATTGCCTGGCTATTCTGTGCCAGGTGCCATTCTCCACGTGCTAACACATGCCCTGGTGATGTTTCTGCCAAGACTCAAGATGGATGACAAAGCCCAGCTCTTGGTGGCATGCAGCCTGGCCCTACAGCTCCCCATCATGTTCTAACACACTTCCAAGTCTTCCTGGAGACCTTGGCACAGTCCAGCCTCTCTTTGCCCCATGCTGGTGTATTTTTCTGCAGAGCCACACAGCATAAATGTGGGCTGGTACCATCCATAGGTGGCTTTCTCTCTCAAATCACCTGCTCATACTTGGTTGCACCGTCTGTGTCCTTCTCTAGACTCTTGCAAGACCGTGATGAGACTAACACAAGCATGGACCAAGGGAAGCCAAGAGGAGCACTACAGTTCGCTCTCTCTGCTTGTAAAAATGAGAGTATCTGGAGGCTCTTTGGCAAAGCAGCAGGATTCATGGCATCTCCATCGGAGATCCAATGAGAGCTGCAGCAGCTCCTCATCAGACCAACTCTGGTTGCTCCCCTTGATCTGCCACTGTCCTGTAAGCAGTGAGGCTGAACCTGTCCTGGTGCTGCGAGGAACGGGGCCAGTGTCCCCAACCCATACTCCTGGCTCTCAGGAGTCTCCAGTCCAATTAGTCATTTCTTATTTTCCCCTCATATGTTTTTCCAATGTAATTTGGAGCATGAGCTGTTAAGTTTCCCCAACATGTGTTGCCATAGGAGCCTATATTTGTTTGGGGTGGGGTATGCATTCTGGAGGATAGAGGAAAGGGGGCAATTAGCCCTAATAGTTATAGAGAGAAAGTGAGAGCGTCTCCTTGCCCATCCTGTCCCTGCCTCTGTCCTCCCCCACCTTGCACACAAAGCATGATCTGGAAATCGTTTCAGACCTGCGCAGCTGGGACCAGCAATCCTCTGCGGTAATTAGATGGAAACTACAGAAGCAGCGGGTGTTGTTTTGCCAGTGAGTCATGAAACATGGAGTGAAGCTCAAGGAAAAACTCCACCATGAAAGAAAATCATGCCCAGAGCGTGTCCCCACCAGCGGCCAGTCCCCTGCCTGCATCCTGCACCTGCCAGCCCCAGCTCACCAGAGACTTCTACTCGCCATTCTTTAAGAGCTATTGGGGATCTTCGTTGGAAGTGTTTACCCTTTTGTATTCGTGAAACTGCACCCTGAAGTCCTCTGATTTATCATTTGGGACCACTAGACCCACTGAAATGGGTCTGGCTGCTTTCCTGAGCAAAGAGATGGCCAGGTTTCTACCAGGAGCCTCTTCTGATGACAGCAGGAGGATGGCCACAGTTGTTCAGCCAGTAGCTGCCAGTGCAGAGCAGGAGAAATATTTCATTGCTAATCACCCAGATAATGAATGGCCTCTCCATTCTGTTAGCACATCCCATTGTTGCTTGGCGGCGCTGATGTGGATCTGTGCTAAATAAACTTCGGCTATGGCTTCTGACAGCTCTTTGCAAGCACTCCCCATGCACGCTGCTGGGTTGCACCAGTTGTGCGGCGTTGTTTCTCAGGCCCAGCTGGCTGCTGCTCAGCCCCAGTTACTTGTTTCTCTTCTCTAATCAGATGACTCATGTAGCCAGACAAAAAAAAATTAAGTGGATTTCTGAATGGCTGTTCGTGCCGTTTTATGTTTCTGGTCAGAAAGCTATTCTGCTGGAATAGCTTTCTGCTTCCACAGTACAGATGAAAGTATGGAAGGCTTGTTAATGTTGGGGCACTAGTTTGAGCTGCACAAAGACAGGCTCTGCACATCTCCAGCAGATCAGGGAGACCCCATGGTGACTCACAGCAGGGCAGCAAAGGGCACTGGGCTGTGCCACTCAGTGAAAGTCCCCCACTACTCAACCATATGGAGCCATGAAGCAGAGAGATGAAAATGAAGATGGCCAAGTCTGAAGCTAGAAGGTGGCCGTGTTGCCAATATTTCTCATTATCAGAAGGGTTAATGCCTTCTCTACTCAAGCCAGAGTTCGATTTTGACCACAGGGAGTAAGTGCTTCGAGATCTCTTTTTCCCATCTGACCACTGGATAAATAGGCTTGTATTTAGTATATAGTTGTATATACTATATATTTGTATACAACTACCAGGCTGTAGTACAGCCTGGCAAAGTTTGGTGGAGCTGTGTGCTGTAGAGAGGGCTAGAGCTGCCTCTGGAGTCTAGAGTACTGTAGGGACATGTCCTCTGATGTCAGAGTTAGACCAAGAGCCTTCTGGTAAAGGCTTAGTCCTTGCCACCAGTGCTTGTCAATTCTTGGCTTGGGCACAAGAACTCTTGGGGCACTCCTGACCTTGGACTCCCTAGTCCAAGGGAAGTAAAGTGTCTGTTTTCCTAAAATTGATCCTCTTGCAAGATGCTCTATTGATCCTAACTGCCTCTCTGCTCTTAGCTGCCCAAGTCAAGTCACCAACCTCAACTTCAGAGCCAAGCCCATTAGAAGAAGGGTTTCTGGTGGGAAGAGTGGCGATGGAGAGAAGAGCTGGGTCAGCCTCTTACAGAGCCCTTCTCAGGCTGTGAACATGCACAGCTGCATTGCAGTGCCATTGCATGAGAGCAGTGTACAGAGGGCTTGCTGAGGACATGGGATTTCTGCTCCTGGGGGGAACTTTGCACCTTTGAATAACCCTTTCAGCAACAACTCGTTTCTCTAGCCCTTCCTAGCAGATGGCTGGTGTGACACCATCAACAACCGGGCATACTGCCAGTATGATGGGGGCGACTGCTGCTCCTCCACGCTGTCCTCCAGGAAGGTAAGTCAGCATTCTCCACAGTATGGGCATTTGGGATTAAGTGGTCACCATCAGCCGTGCTTTGCTGGCTGTGGAACCAGGCCTGCAACAGAATTCTCCCATCAACAAACCCATGATTTTAAACCAAAACCAGCTGAAGCTGATAGACATCATTCCACTGATTACAGTGAGGTTTGGACCCATGCCAGAGGGACGGAGAGCTCAACCCAGCTCCTGCTGAGGCTCACAGGATTCCCTCTCAGTTTGGGAAATAAGTCCCAAATACATGCCTTCCATAGGATGTAGCGCTAGTCATGGTGAGTCAGAAGTCACCTTGTTGTAAAATTGAGTGATCTCAAGGGAATTTGGCATTTTGGCATGGTCCATTGGCATCTGCTATGAGTTGCCTTTCCCAGTTCTCCTTGGGAGGGGAAAAAAAAAAAAGAGAGATAGCATATAGGGAAAAACTTGGCATTAGAGTTGTGCAGACCCTCTTCTGTCTCCCACAGTCACCCCTCCCACCTAACCTGCTACCCAGCACTCACAGCCCATCCTTCCTAAACATATCCAGCAGCAAAACAAACCATAGGGCACAAGAGAATTTCTCAGTGCAAAAATATGTGAATTTGGATCTTCTCATCTATGTTGTGGAGCTTGAATCATTTTTCCTTTCATCACAAGCACACACAGAGTAAGGTAAAAATGAAATCCTGGGAAGATCCAGTTGAGATAGGAGAGAAGAGGCTTTACAGCCAGGTGATGAGTGAAACCTCCACACTGATAGCACATCTCAGAGCAGGGCATGGCTCTTGGAGTTGAGGCATCTGGATCTCTGGCCAAAATAAAGGACAGGCAGTCCCAAGGAGACACAGCCCAGTTTGTGTGCCCCACAGGCAGCTCTCCAGCAGCACGAGCCTCTTGTGTTTCTCTGTTAAGGACGGAACACACCAAATTCTCCAGCCTCTCACTGGCTGCCAAAAATCAGATATGCTCCCACAGTTAGAAAAACTCCAGGCTTTGAGCCTGGTTTGCATAAAGTCTCCATAGGAACTGGTTACCTCAACTCCCATGGCCCACTGCTGGGCATCTGTTGACCAGGAGCCAGATATTCTGCTGGTGCCCTTCCACCCTGCTCTGCTGTCATTGGCTGAGGTGACATAAGCTTGCTTGGCTGGATACAGTTGATGTAGTCAACCTTCTCTCATGCATGTGGATGACCATAGATGGACCCACTGCCTCTCCTGCCAAAGAGCATTCCTGACCACGCTGCATCCAGCCTGCCTGGGTTTTCTTTATCTGTTGCATACAAGAACTGTAGGCATATAACTTGGTTCCTACACCAGGCAATATGGAGGTTGCTGTGGGTAGGAGGTGCTGAGTTCCTCCAAGAGGTGGAAAGGACAAGGCCACACTATGGCTGAGCCTGGAGAACCAGGAACAGCTGGAAGGACAGGACCATGGGCTCAGACATAGACAATGTGGGTCAAAGTAAAACTGAAATCTAGACATGTCTCCCCTAGTCCAAATGGCTAATGCCCATTGAGCATTTACCCCTAATGTTTGGGGCACAAGAACAAGCTCACCTGTGATGGCAAATTTGAAATGCAAATTGCTGAAGAGGAAAACACTAAGAACAAAGCCCAGCCATGGGGCACAGCTTGGGACACCCCACAGCGGAGCTGTTTCTCAGTGATGGTGAAGCCTGGTGGTCTCCTCTACACCACCTTCAGCCCAAAGCCTGCCCATACCAAGATGGAGAAATACTATGGAGTTGGGCAAGGGATCTCAGAGCGGAGGCTCGATCTGGGCTAACATCTCCTTTGCGTCATTGCAGGTGATCCCATTTGCTGCCGACTGTGACCAGGACGAGTGTACTTGCCGCGACCCGGCGGCTGAGGAGAACCAGTAGAGGGGGCATGGAGGGCCTCTATCAGTCAGGCGAGTGCCGGAGGAGTGAAGGGACACCAAAGGAGGCAGCAGGGTGCCGGGGCAGGAGGCACAAGGATGAGCCAGACAGGAGGATGGCAGTGGAGGCCGCCGAGTAGCTGGTGGCTGTGGAAAAGGAGGCCAGGTGGTCCCATCCCCATCCCCATAGGCTCCTGCCGGGGACTTCGGGTCCAGCCCAAGGGGCTCCGCGCGGGGTCCGGCACCAGGAGCCTGGATGCGGCTGCAGACATGTGTCCTGGTGCAGCGTTTTTGCTCTGGATTTTGTCACTATTCACTCCCCTCCCTCTGCTGTACAGGCTTCTTTTAGCAAGGTCGAGGTAGTTGTGATCTCTGCAAATATTTAAACTTAATTATATATATATATACATATATATATATAATATATATAAAGTATTATATATTATATTTTCTTTGCTCTTGATGAAGCTGAGAAAGGATACCCTTTGTCACACACCCACGCTGCTGTGAAGTACAAACCATTGGGAAAAGTGCAGGTCAGGGCAGGAAGAGCAGGGAATTTCCCCTCATTTGCGGAGCAAGAGCTGGAAGGACGACAGAGAGAGAAGCCAAACATCCCAGCCAACTAGGAGGGAGTTCCTGGTGGATGGCGTGGAGGCCAGGACCTCAAGGTACTCTCAGTATCTGCTGATGGCAGGTGTTGCCCTTGGGATTCACTGGAGCTTTGCTTTGCTCTGGTCCTGGAGTAGGATTTTGAGGTTGAAAAGGGATGTTGTGCCCTAGACTTGCCTTGGCTGTTGAGACCCAGATAGATGAAGGATGTGATGGGCAAGCCAGAATAACTGTGATGCTCTGCAATGAAGGAGGCTGAAGGGGTCCTCCTTTTCTTTCCCCTATCTCCAAACACGAGCTTCAACAGTGCAGTCAGCAGATCTTGGAGGAGAACAGGCCCTGTAGCACAGGGAGGGGAGAACCCCAGTGACTCATCAGGATTCTTTGAGTACCATCTCCCACTGAGCTTTTCCTTACTGCCATCTCTGTGGCCCTTTGCACTGCATGCCCAGTACAGCCTTTCTTGGGTCATTTCCTTCTGTAGAGACCAAGTGAAAACCTTCAAATTTGCTCCTAGCCTCGAAAGAGCCCAGCAAAAAACTTTGGCTCCCAGGGCTGATTCCACAGGCTTGGAGTCTGGACACAGCCCCATAGATACAGAGGGTAGGGAAGGTACTGGCTCAGCTGGGACTGTCACTGCTGGTCTTATGCTACAAAGACAAAAGTGTTGGAAAGAGCAGAGAATGGACCATGGAGCAAGAGCATAGAAACCCATCTGTGTCCAGGAGCTCTGCAACCCCATTCTGTGGCTGGAGCCCCACATCTGCTCCACTACATCCCCAGAGCACAAGCTGAGCCAGTGGAGCCAGGCTCCGAACCAGGGTTTGTCTGGCACCAAGCAATGGAGAGAGGGTGACACGGTGTGGAGAGACTGGGGATTGTCAAGGCATCCTTTGGCTTTTTGCTAGCATCCTTCCTGCAGCCTACGTGGTCAGGAATTTCATTTGGCTGAAGGAAAGGAGCAGGGGGCAGAGGCACCTGGATATCCCAGCAGTCCCAGGCAGGAGATGCTGTGACCTCCTCTGAGCCTTTTCCCTATCTCTCACCCCACAGCCAGCCTCCTCCTGCCTTGGTGTCCCAGCCTACCCCATCACAGACATAGCAGGGCTGAGGGACACCTTGGGGAACTGCTGGACATGGGGCCATGGTAGCCACACATACATGGAGTGCAGGTGACCCACGGAGATAGATAGGAGAATTTCATGCCCTGGTATCTTGCCACCTGCTCAATATCAGCTCTACTTGGGCACCTATGTGTTTAGATGCCAACATTTGACTTTTTTTTTTTTTTAATTAAAATTGTTGTCTTGGGCATGACCCATCCCTGATCACCATGGGCATAAAGATTGGTGGGCAAGGTGCTGGCTTGGCTGGGGGAGATTTGTGCTTCTCATGAAAGGATAGCTTCTACGTACCAAAATATTGTTCTTCTATAGCAACACTGAGTGGTTTGTGTCCCCTTTAGGGTTTTATTCACAATGGAGGCTGCTGCTATTTTTATTTTTTTGTATTTGATAATTATTTTTTATAAAAATCTATGAAAAATAAATAATCTTCTCATCCTTCACCTCTCCTGCTTCCTTGCTTCAACTGAAGTTGGTCTGGGCTGGGAGGGGAAGACGGTTGGGCATGTAAACATTTGGGGAAGCACTCTAATTATCTCTTCTGCTTCTCTTCTCTTGTTCTTCCCTTCCCTTCCTTTCTTTCATCCTTCCCTCTCTTCCTCCCTTCCTTCCTTCCTCCCTCCCTTCCCTTCCGTTCCCTCCTCCCTCCCCCCATCTCCCCTTCTCTTCCTTCCCTCCCTCCCTCCCTCTCATTCTTTCCTTTCTACCAGCTATTCCTTGTATATGTGCACAAAAAAGCCCTGCATTAAGTGGGCAACCTCACTGTGGCACCCAGGTATAAGGACACAGGGACCAAAATGAACTGATGCCACAGTACCAGATGATCCCTGTCCCATGGAAGACTCCAAAGCCCACGAACACCCCATGTCCCCAAGGCAGAGGACACCAGTTGGTGGCCAGTGTCCCCTTCTCTGCATCCTGGCTCCTACACTCACCTGCCCTAAGAACCCCAACTTCACGTGGCAGGATTTGATCAGCCCAAATCTGTGCTGGGAGCTGTTTGTCTTTCCTCTGCCATGTCTGCCTTGCAGACGGTGGAGAAGGTGAGTCATGGCTGAGTGAGTGGAAAGATCAGGAAGGACTGGAACTCCTACAGAGAACAGGGCATTACAAGGCTCTGCAGCGTCCAGCGTGGAGGTAGCAACCAAGCAACCAGGATTCCAGGTATAGGTTTTGCACTCAGAATAATATCCAGGACAGTAGCCAAGTGAAGAGCTGGTTTCTCATCTCATCCCCTCATCACCAAGTACCAAACTTCAGAGCAAGAGGCCTCTGCATTCCCAAGACAAAGGTTACACAGTTCAATAAGGATAGTGGTGCTTCCAACTGTGCAGACTGGATTTGGGAAATCTTTGACAGCAAGTGCACTGTTCAAGAAGTCCGCATGGCATTAAGAAATGAAACAGATCCTGGGAGCATGGGGACGTGATACCCTGTATGAGGGCTCCTGTGCTGCAGTGTCATTCATGCCCACTCTCTAATTAAGAAACCCCTTCTAGCAACTCCTTTTCCAGGATGGCCAACAGCAACCCTCATAACACATCTGTTTGCTGCTCAGGATCTGGGGAACACTATCAGGAGCAAGGTTGGGCTCTGCCTACCCCTTCTCCAGGGCCTAAAGCTGCTGTTTAGCTTCAGCTGGTGGTGCATCCCTTCCAGCTCACTTTGCCATTTTTGGAGTGAATTTAGCCCCTTGCTTTCAAACCCTTGAGGAGACAGCATTTCCAAACCAAGCCATTCCATGATTCTATGGTTGAATAGTTTGTAGAACTATAGAATGGCTGAGGTTGGAGGGGATATTAAAGATCACCTAGTTCCAACCCCCCTGCCATGGACAGGGTTGCCAATTTCTAGATGGGATGGTTCTTTGAAGGTGTGATGACACGGGCACATTGGACTGCTCACACTTGCAACCACACACCCTGGAAACACGTGGCCCCTCTGCTCTTCCTCCACCTCACCACCAACCTCCTTCTCCTTCTCTTCCACAAGTTATAGTGCAGTGGCTGCCACAGCACTTAGCTGTATGGAAAATAGCAGGAGGAAAGCATTGGGTGTATTTTTAACATATTTTCCTGCAATTTAGCAGTGGGAAGAGAGAAAAAAATTAAGTTGTTCCATGATACTTAACAGAGCTGGTGGGAAAATACTCTAATCTTGGTGAAGGGGCCAACTACGGGCATGCTGTATGGTCATGAGCAGTGAGAACAAAACTCACACTACACAAGACTACCAAGGCATCCTTATTACCTGCTGTATCTGCTCAGGCACTGATTTTCAAATCACTTGTAGGCAGTCGGTGTTCTTTACATTGCTGGACCTCTCTCAAAAGTCTGCCAAATGGAGCCCGAAGTTCCCAGGGGTGGTTGGCCGCCAGATAGTGCCATCAATTCACATTATAGCTGAATAAAAACAGGTTAATTTGAGACTCTGCTCCCAAATTCCCAGCATTCATGGAGGTTTCCAAAACAAGGACTGAGAGCCCCGGGATGAAGGCATGCCATCTTTCCCAAAACCCAAATGCCCGCAGGCATCTGTGCCATCCCATGGCCATGGAGCAGGTAGCAGGTGTGGGATGTGGTTCCAGCTGTGTTTTGGTACTTGGCTACCCAGAGCAGACAGCTAAACTTGTGGGAAGAGGCACCAAGTTCAAAGGCTGTGAGTTTCCATCCACCACCAACAGATTGCATCAACAGGACTACAGCTATAAACAAGCACCCCCATTTGCCAGAGCCACGGATTACTAACAGCTCCGTTTAATAGTCAGTTGAATTATCATTTGGAGTTTTACATAGTGCTACAGTGATTTTTGTAGTTGTTTTCATTTAAAACCTTTTTAAAGTAACCCGTAAGGGTCTTGCATTTCTTGCCCCGTGGCTATCCCACCCTAAAGCACCCTACTTTCAATCTACAGTAGTAAAACGTCACATTAGAGTTTTAATATAACATCAAGGAACATGAATTGTAGCCATCTTCTGAAATAAAAGGACCAAACCATCTTCATATGTTAAATAACGGCACAACAAGTAAAAGGTAGAAAGGCGAGTATGGGGAAGGGGCATAGCAGAGAAAAGAAAATGGCCCAGAGGTTCTTCTCAGGTGAATGATCACTCGTTAACTCAGAAATAAATCAAGGAGAGAGAGAAGAGGAGTGAGGGAGAATAGGAAAGGGACAAAAACCATCCTCTTCAGCAGCACAGAAAGAGGCAGAGGTCCAGCAGAGGAAATACTGCACAGAGCCATGGGCAGGACCTTTTGGCAGATGGGGAAGGACATCAGCTCTGCAGGTATGGCACACCGGGGGCTGTCCCCACACATCTCCCCAAGGAATGGTCTGCGGCTATGGGGTGAACGCACCCCTCTTGGTCTGAGACATGGTGGCACGTAGCTGGTGTTTGAGTTGAGCTCTTGAGTCAACCCAGGGATTTGGACAAGAGAATGCAAATTCAGACAAATCTCTAAGTTGCTGAGACAGGGTGAGAAACTGAGAAGAAAGCCTCCTGAAAGCCAGGGTTATCACAGAAAGGGGCAATGCACAGATGGGCAGCAACACTGAGACAGTCAGGCCCATGGAGCAAAACCCACCTTGGCATGGGTCAGTGGCCAGATCAGGGTCAACCTGGGAAGAGCCCAACCCAGAGGGATGATGGTTCTGCAGAGCTTTTAGTGACCACACAAGGGCTTTGAAGTAGGGGAATAGGAACACAGTGGAAACAGCCATGGTGCCCCATCATCAATTTTGGGTGAAGAAGCCCACAAGAAAGGTGCAAGTACTCAGGGTCTTCCTGGCAGCATTCCTGCGCTGTTCTCATCTCAACTGCTGAATTTCATCAGCAGTGAAAGACAGGACGCTGCTACCAAGAGAAAACCCTTCTGTGTTCCATATGAAAGCTATGTAAGCAGTATTACTTGGCCAGTCACCAAGCTGTGTATGGGCCAGAGCAGCCCTGGCCCAAGCTTTGCTCCGAAGTGCTGGATGTTGTGCCCTGTGCCCATCCCTGGTCAGCTGTCTGGCTGAAGTTAAAGGATGACTTGGTGTCGGCTGGAAGAAGCAAAAAGACCAACCCAAAGCATCCTGGTCAGGATTCCCAGTGGCTGGAAGGAAACGGGACGCCTGCCCAAGTACATGTAGAGACAGTCTTGTTTTGAGCACCAAGCTTTTGGCATCATCTGGCACATCCAAATATAAGGAGACGTGGGAGAAGAGGTCCAAAGGTCCTGGCTGACTTTCTCCTTGCAAAAAGCAGGTGTTGGCCCACCTAGCCCTGCTAGATGAATTCATCACAGGTTTCACACAGGTGCCCAGGTAATACTGACTGCTGCTGGCTGCTCACAGCAACTCCCAGGTGCTGCCCTGAATGAGAGGTCTGTAAGTGGGAAGGGAGGGATGGAGCAGGGTGGTCCTGCAGGAGGATGTTCCTGTGCTGTCTGGCTGGCTGCAGTGCAAGCACCAGAAGGCAGCGCTGGTGGCTCCCATCCAACACCACACAAATACTCCAGCTGCCTCCTGGGCAGGTAGCAGTAGGAACGAGGTGGGAAATGGAAAGAGACAGGCTGAAGATTGCTCCTGCCAAGACTGAAAAATGGAAAGGAAATCTCGCTCTGAAGAGGCATCATAAGAAAAAAAGAAAAAAGAAAAAATACAGCAGGGTTCCTGTCTCGTCCACATCAAAGATGCACAGCCGACAAATCCAGGGGTGCCTCCTCTGCAAAGCAGGCTGGGAGCTGAAGCTAAAATGAAGCCTTGTGCCGCATCCAACAGCAGCAGTGGTAGAAGGGTTCTGGAGAACAGTTTGCTATAAGCACAGCCCAGTGTCCCAGAACAACCCCAGTTCTCTGGTTTTTTTTTGTTGTTTTTTTTTTTTTTTCTTTTTTTTTGTTAGGAAAAAAACAAAGTCGCTAGTGAGAGATGCAGATGTGAGCCTAAATATGGAAAGCAACATCCCCTGAAGACAGAACACAAAGGACAGGCAGCCCTGTAGGACAGGTATGCTATGTCCCACTCCTTTCACTATGCCCACCTTGGGCTGCTCCATGGCTCAAGAGCAGCAAATAGCAGAAAACAGCCTTGTTCATGCCAACTGGATACTGCTGTCTTGGCTGGGGTTCTCCTAAACACTACTTCGTCATTGCTTTTAAGTCTTTACTATGGTGGGTTTGAAAAATAATGAAATGGAAGGGATTTTTCAGTTGATTTCCTAAGAGTTCAATCCCACACAAAAACAAACAAACAAACAAACAAAAAATTATATCCACATAGCTGCTGGCACCGAGGCCAATTTGCCTTTGCCCTTGAGGACTCGCATCTTTGAGCAGATGTGGGCTTTGACCATGACAGAAGAACCCTGAGGAGCTGGGTTCTCTATCACCACCTTCTTTCCTCTTCCCTGGGCTGGTGACACCAGGGCCAGCCCTGCCCTGCAGTGGCGCCAGAACTGAGTCAGGTTCCACCTCATGCCTTACAATTAGAAAAATAACCACAAAACCTCTAGGATGCCCAGTGACTGTTTTGCCCCATGATGAGCATTTGCGTCTCAACCTGACTTGCATCACCATGCTTCTCCTGTGACTGGGCAGGGACATAACATGGTGCAGAGGGCTGCGTCCTCCAGCCTGCCCTCCCTGTGCCATGCACCCACACCCACCAGCTAAGGAACCTCTTGGCAAAACAAAGAAAAAGAACCAAGAAAACTGGGTCCCACAAGACTCCTACCTAGAAAGACTGTTGGCCAAGTTGAAGAAGAAACTAATACTGAGTCAGTCCTGCACAGAGCAGCTATTTCATTCCCCAGTCCCAATTTTTACCTCCAGAGATGCCCTCCTCCCCTCCCACTCCATATATAAAACCCCCACAGCCACCCCGGAAGGGCCACGGTACGGCCCTCAGTAGTCCTTGTCCCCATAGTCATTGTAGAGGACGCTCAGAGTCTGCTCCTCGCACGTCTTCTTGAGGTCACGGCTGAGCTCTGACCAGTTGAGCCCGTAGGGCTTGATCTCGCTGTAACGGCAGGCCAGGTACTTGAGGGATGAGCGCTGCAGGCTGATCTTGGGCTCCCGCAGGAGCCCGTTGCACCAGCTGCTCAGGTCCCCCAGCTGCGAGAGAATGAGGCCGGCTTTCCTGCAGAGAGGCAACGGGGTGGTGGGAAGGGGATGAGAAGAGCGGGAACAGAGAAAAGTAAAGTGGTTAGGGATGCCCGTGACTTTGTCCACGTCCTGTTCTTCTTCTACTCTGCATCATACCCATGCAAGTTCAGCTTTGGTGAGGGTTTAATGCCCCTTTGGAAATGGAGCATAGAGGATGTCAGCGATTAATCAAGCAGCATCACCTCCATTGCTGAAATGGAGAAGAGCAGCTGAGCTCTGAAAGATCTAGAGCACAAGTCTGATGAGGAACAGCAGAGGGAATGGGATGGGTCAGTGTGGAGAAGAGGAGCTCAGGGGGGACCTCACTGCTTTCTTCAACTGCCTGAAAGGAGGCCGGGGTGAGGTGGGGGTTGGCCTCTGCTCCTGGGTAACAATGATAGAGTAAGAGGTGAGGGCCTTAAGTTGCCACAGGGGAGGTAAGAAAAGCTTCTCATAAAAAGTGGTGAGGCACTGGAATTGGCAGCCAGGGAGGTGGTGGGGTCACCATCCGTGGGGGGGGTCAAGAAATGCATAGAAATGACACTAAGGGACACAGGTTAGAACCTTAACAAGCATGAGCTGATGGCTGGATTAGATGATCTTATTGGTCTTCCCAATCCTTACTGATTCTGTGATACTGGACCCCAAATCACAGGGCAGGAAAGTGGGAGAAACAGGCAGTGGGGAGAAATGCCATAAGTCACAAAGCATGACATGCCTGGACACCACACATACCCTTCCCCTGCACTGCACCTGGGAGCTGTGCTGCTCACTTGTGGCTCAGTGCAGCGCATCTCTAAGGAGATCTAGGAATTAGATGATCTTTGATCCCTTCCAATCCAAGCCATTCTATAATCTTCATGGGCATGGCATAGGCAATGTGCTGGGATTATCATTTTCCCCCCCCTGTCAAGTGCCAAAGAGGGATGAGATGGAGAAGAAATGCACAGTAGTAGGAACCAGCAGGCTGAGTGTAGAGAGTTAGGGGAAAAAAAGCATTCACAATTTCATGCTTGTTATCTGTATTAATTTGGCTTGTGGGGGTCTGTTATGAGCCCCACAAGATGCGGTATCATAAAACGTAAGTACAATCAATGACACTCCTGATACATGACTTACAATGTTCATAATAATGGTTTAGGAAATGCGTCTCACAGGACAGCATGCTAGCTAGGACTATATTGAGGCATACAACGTAAGTTCAATTCCAAAAAGCTCTGAAAGAAAATGGGATGTGGTGGCACCTCCCTCCCCCTCCACTTTTTTGGAATGCACATTTTGCATCTGCCAGTTGCAGAGAGCAAAACAAGCAGTAGCATTTGGTAAAGAGCCATCAGGCAACCCACGCTGTCTGTGCAGCCCAGCTAAAAAGCCAGGAGACAAGGTCAGGTGGTGGAAAGAGAGGGGAGGAATCCATGTGCAACAGAAGAAAGACATGCAGCACCCTTAGGGCAACACAGCTTTGGGGTGGGATTATCCTGGTAATGGGAAGTGCTGAATGTCCAACCTCTTGTGTTGGAAGAAGCAGTGGAGGAAGCCAAATATGAGCTAAACTATTTTCTCTTCTTTTCATGGTTTTCTTCTAGAAACTGCACTTCTAACACTCTTATCAAGAACAACATTTTGTCCAGATAAAAAACATTATGTTCATCTTAAACTTGTCTAGCACTTCCAGCAATCTCCAGGGAATCTGGCAAATGTGTAGGTAATGGATCTAAATAAAGTGTCTTGCAGGCAAGTATTACATGTGCCTGGAAACCCAGACGAAAATGGAAGCGATCCAAGGGCTGGAAGGAGTTTTCCAGCCAGCCTTAAGGTCAGTTGATGGGGTCAGGATAGAAGACATTCCATCGGTAGCTGTAACAGCATCCACACAGCATGGGGCAGGTCGCAGACACACAAATCATGATAGCAGGGTGAAAATAACCCTCTTTGTCACATTTTTGCTTGGATAAGCAAGAGTTGCTTGTAGAGCATACAGCTGTGTTGGTGCTGGCTTGACAGCTCAAGGGTACATGCAGGGAACATAGAAATAGCCACAGCCACACCATACTTCCAGCCAGGGCAGAGCCACTTGGAAGAAGATGATGACCCTTCAGGCTGGGCTGGAGGGCAGCCTGAACTGGTGGAGGGCAACCAGCCCATGGCAGGGGTTGGAGCTCCATGATCCTTAAGGTCTCTTCCAACCTAAGCCAGTCTATGATCGATTTTATGAGCCCAGGCCCAGCCAAAGCTAACACTGGCTTTCCTGTAGCTGAAACCCTCCAGAGGTCCAGCCTGAAAAAGGGGTATGAGCGTTCCCCAAGCAGGCAGAGCCAGAAGACGGCACGACAGCATGGAGGTGGAAGAACATTGCAGAGCCAATCTCATGGGTTCAGATCCATGGCTTCAAAGGAGCATCGGCAGCATTCAAACAAACACTCTCTGCTGGCTAAATAACATCATCTGCAAGTGATTTGTCCTGTCACCACCAATCTGGCTGCTTTGCCCTTGCAGACAATCAAACAGGAGGCCTGCTTTCCAAGATTTGTCATCACCAGATCTGACTGCAGCTGCCTAAACGTCTTTCCAAGCAGGGCGAACTGCAAACAATTCATCAGCAGCTCATGTCATCCCATCCTGAGCATTTCCAGAGGGTGGAATTCACCCTTTGACATATAGGTTCATGCAGCAAATGATAATATTCAGATAATCCAGTGGCATTTCTTGTCATCCCATGCCAACCTCACTGCCACATGGGGCTGGAAGATGAGGCTTCCACCCCGTGCTGGGGTTCATTCGTTTCCTCACTGATGGCAATACTTGTGGCTACGTGACAAATCCAGATTCCCAAACTAAGGAATTTGATGCACTCATCACAAAAAAACCCACCACAACAGATGTCATGGTACATGCAAACTGGGGATAGATTTTACACATGGCAGTGAGGACAGAGTTGCACCACCACAGCTGGGCTCAAAACAAAGGTGAGACATGAATCCAAGCCTGGTGGTCTCACAGTGCTGTGGGAATGAGGTGCTGGTGGAAACCTTAGCAAAGCTGAACTAGGAGAGGTGCCTAAGAGACCTTGCATGCAAGAGAACAATCAGATATTTATTGAATTTTTCTGACTCCCCTTAGGGAGAAATTATGAACCTTGATTTTATGAGGTTCAACAAACACAAGTGCAAGGTCTTGCACTGAGTCATGGCAATCCCCAAAACCAAGCTGGGGGATTTAAGGATGGAGCACAGCTGTGCTGAAAAGAACATGGGGGTACTGGTGAATGGCAGCTGGACATGAGCCAGCAATGTGTCCACAAAGCTCAGAAAGCCACCCAGATCCTGGGCTGCACCAAAAGCAGCGTGGCAAGCAGGGTGAAGGAAGTGATCCTGCCCATCTGCTCTGTGCTGGTGAGGCCTCACCTGGAGTGCTGCGTGCACATGTGAAGCCCTCAGTACAGAAATGATGTGGACCTATTGGAGCTCGTTCAGAAGAGGGCCACAAAAATGACCCAACGGATGGAACACCTCCCCTTTGAGGACAGGCTGAGAGCTAAGGCTGTGCAGTATGGGGAGGAGAAAGCTTCAGGGAGACCTGAGAGCAGCTTGTCAGTATCTAAAGGAGGGCTGTAAGAAAGGAGGAGACAGATTCTTTAGCAGAGTCCGTAGTGACAGGACAAGGGAAGTGGTTTCAAACTGAAAGAGGGATGATTTAGGCTATAAGGAAGAATTATTTTTATAGTAAGAGCAGTGAGGCAGTGGCACAGGCTGCCCAGAAAGGTGGTGGTGCCCCATCCCTGCAGACAGCCAAGGTCAGGCTGGGTGGACTCTGAGCACTGAAGGAGCCGTGGGTGTCCCTGCTCAGTGCGGAGACTGGGACCAGATGGCCTTTTAGAGTCCCTTCCAACTCAAAAGATTCTGTGATTCTATGTGGAGGAAAGGGGATCTCTGATCCTCTGCTAGAAATCTATAAGTGGTGATCTGGAGAAGCAGGGCTGGAAAACAGCAATACAGCAGAAAGAAGAGCTGTCCAGAGGAGGGCACTCAGAGGACTGTGCATTTTGTAGATAGGAACTGTTGCTGATGTACATTTGAAGTAATCCTGACTACTAGCCAGACTCAAGAGTCCAGTTCTTTGGAGGCCAGATGCTACAAAACATCACTGCATCCCACATAACTTCACAGCCCAACTTGCTAAGCTTTCTGGAAAAACCCATATTACTAGGAAATTGCTCAAAGACAAGATGCTGGAGGAGATGGGAACATTTGTTTGACTCCACAGGCAGGGAGTGGGAGGGCATCTCTACACCCTGGAGCTGGATGGGCCAGAGCCACCTGAAGCAGCGCTGGTGGAGCTTAGTATGAAGGGACTAGGCCACCTGGTAGGGTGGCAGAGTATGATGGGCTGACTGATTTTCCACCACCTAGTCCTACTACATTTATGACCTTCAAGGGAGATGGCCAAATCCTAAACCTACACACAGGACTGCTTTCTGAGCCTACCTGGGTCCCAGCTCGTCCTCACAGCGCCAGGTGAACTCCCCAAAGCTCTCGTAGTGCTGGTTGTAGTGGTAAAGAACACGGTGCAGGCTGGGGGAGCCAAGGTCCAGCAGGGTGTTGTAGGCTGTTTGCTGCTCCTTGCCACTGGTATAGCCATTGAAGAGGTTGTAGATCTTGTCTGCAATTTCTGGGCAGAAGAACAAGGGGTATTCAGTGGGGTGCAAAGAACAAAGTCCACCAGGATAATGCTCAGCTCTAGCGAAGCCAAGAGACAAATCCTCTGTGGCATTTACTGGAGCCAAGATTTGTCCCCTGGGGTATGATTAATGTCATATCAAGGCAGTGGAGGAACAACAGAGTAGATGTCATTCCCCAGGCTCAGCTGGACTAATCAATCCAGTTTAGGTTCTCATAGTTTGACCCAATTAGGAAGAGAAATGGTTGGTGACATCAGGTACTGTTAGTAAAATGCCATTTATCTAGAAGAAAGAACACAACTGGGATTTCTTCAGACACCACTTATGCTATCAGCTCCTTTCTCAGCAGGTCAAGCAAGATTTTCCTCAGCTATTTCTCCACCCATTCTCAACATGTCTTGAGTTCCTTCCCCTTCATCCATCTTCTCAGCCGCACAGAGTGCATCTGTGTTTGTCTGGGGTGAAGGAGGCATCGCAGCCAGGACAGGAGATACGTGCAGAGACATAACAGTCAGGAGAGCTCCTGTCACTGGTCCCAAGCATCACCCTGTGGACGCTCAATCCTATGCCCAGGCACAGGATACATATGTACCCTATGCATAGCTTTTCCAACCCACATCCAAATCCCCACCAAGTCTCCATGCCCATGAACAATGAGGCTGCTTTCCAATTGTGTAGGCACACATGAAGCCTCGGGTCAGCACAGGTCAGTGGCTCACCTTGAGCTTTGACATCATCCACCACAGGGCAGGGCGTCTTGACCGTCACATCACTGGACCTGGAGCGTCTCCCCGTGTTATCGACTCCCCAGAGGGTGAACCTGGCCAGAAGGACAGCAGTGAAGCTGCAGGTCCTGGGCCCTCACATGAAGTGAGGGAGGCTCACATGGAGGAGGTGACTCACATGTAGATGGTGTCGGGCTCCAGGCAGCGGATGATGAGGGAGATGGTGGAGGAGAGCCTGTCAGGCACCTGGGCTGGCATGGCGCAGGGGGACTTGGCACCAGAGATGATGTCATCCACAAAGCTCAGCACCGTCTCTAGGGGGAGCAAAGAGGACATGCCACAGATGATGACACTGGCGTCCCCAGGGCTATGCCCACCACCAAGCTGCAAAGGCAGAGCAAAGCTCACACATGAGTTTGGTGTGGAGACAAACCCACTGCTTTTCCCTGCCATCTGTGGGCCCCCTGCAAGGCTCACTGTCATGGCAAGGAGGGAGGGGCTACTTTCCTATGGGATAAGGAATACTTTGCAGCACCCCCTTGCAAACAGGGAGCTAGAGATTGTCCTCCAACATCTCCATCCCACCCTCCCTGCAGTGAGACCCACTCACCAGTCTCCACCTTGGAGTGGTCCATCCTGTCGGTCACTTTCTCCTGGCGGAGGAGGTAGTCGACGATCTGCACCCCGATGGGGGGCTCCGAGTGCCCCCACTCCAGCACTACCAGCGTGCTGCTGGGTTCATGCACAGTGGAGAGCCGCAGGCTGGAGAGCAATGCTTGCTGGTGAGCACCTTGAGAGGGCAAGGTCCACTGCCCCACAAACCTGCCCCACAAAGCCACCCTAGCCCCACCACCCCCTATCACCACCCCATTGGCCATCGCCACCTCCTAGACCGACCATATTACGAGGCCAGACAGAGACCTACATGGGGTGTGGGAGAGGTGCACAGGTGGGCAGTCCATCAGCCCCAAAGGCACTTGAGTCGCAGCGACACCAGTCCTCAATGACATCCCCGCTGCCTGAGCACCACAGTGAGCTCATGGTGGCTTCCTGCAAGAGCTGGGAGTGAGGAGAAGCGGGTAAGTTCAGTCTGGCATCCCACCATCAGAGCACGCACTTACAGTGGCAATAGGCTGATGGTTGGACTGGATGATCTCAGAATCACTAAGATTGGAAGAGATCACTATGATTCACCTGTTCCCTGCTGGGTGACACTGAAATGGTTCAGCATGGTCCATCCACCCTGGGGATGGGGTCAGCAAGAGCTGCCAAAACTTGATGTGATGCAAGCTGCCTACAAAGAGCTTTGTAATGCCATCCCACCACTCCCCAAGCTTCTCACCCGCTGCGTCTGGTTGTTGGTGACCAGCTCGTAGATGGGGGCTGCTTTGGTGACCTCAAGCAGAATGGGCTCTGCTGGTGCATCAGGGCTGGAGGTGACGTGGCAGAGGGGACAGGATGAGGGGCAGCGCCCGCGGCTCTGGCACTCCATCCGCACGCCTGCTGCCATGCGCTTGGTGCCTGACTCAGAGAGGCTGGCGATGTACTCAGGAAAGGTGAGCACTTTGGGGTCCCGCTCACGCTCCTCTGACTCATCTGATGGAGAATTGCCTGGGGGAGGGGAGAAAAGAGAATTGCCATGAAGAGGGAGGCAGGGATGGTCTCCATACCATTGCCAAGGGGATGCTCCTAGGAGAGAGAGCGCCCAGACCCACCCCTCCCCCCTGTAGGGATGAAATGCCCTCTGGTTTTGAGAGCAGAAATCAAGACTGGAAAGTGCACCCTGGCATCATCTGTGCCTTAGTTTTCCCAGCTCTTTGCCTGGCTGGTGATGGGCCAACCCTTGCACTGGGTCCCCACGAGAGGGAGCCTCGTTCTTACAGCTGGAGGCTCATGAAGGACCCATTTAGTCCCTCCCTCTAAATCAGCTTCATTTCTAATTTCTTTTCTCTGCTCCCGTGGTTCCCAAAAAGCCTCTGTCAAGGCCAGCAGCCCCCACTCACAGAGGCACAGGGAGCACATCCCTTTTAGCAGCTGCTTCATGCCTGCCTCCTTGCATTTGTCCCCAAGAATTAGGTGATTCTTAAGAGGATAGCAACGATGACGACAAGGCAATAGGGTGGGAAGAACCAAAGGAGGCTGAGGGCATTGCCTGCTGCGGCTGTGGGACACTGCTGGCAGCACATCCACAGCTCTGTGGGAAGAACTTCCTATGGAAGGGTCTGCCAAGCCAATCCCTGAGACCCCTGAGAGGAAAACAGGGCTGTTAAACAAAGCCCTGGATGCAGGAGCACTGCTCAGCCACCCCAGCGAGTTGGAATTGGATCACTTTGGGCTGGCTGTGAATTGCAGCTTCACAGGCACAGAGGGAAAGCAGAGGAGCCAGAGAATGAGATGTCTCTTGCAATTTCTCAGTCAATATCCAGCTCCTGACGTTTGCAAACAAAAAGCAAAGGAGGGAAAGTGGCAGGTGCCAGAGCAAAACCAAAATGTGATGTTGTGGGTGGAAAGAGACTGCCAGACCTGAAAAGCCTCCAAGCAGGAAAATCAAAGAGGAGGAAATTGCAGGAGGGAAAAAAAAAAAAAAAAAATACCCCAAACAACAAGTACTCGCAATCAAAAGATGCTACATCTGGATCCAGCCCTCAGCAAAGCAGCAGTGGGGCTGGACACAGGTGGGCTTGGGAAGAAGCCCAGGCTCCAGGAGCCTGTAGCATCCATTCTCAGAAATGAGTGTTTTACACCCAAGTGGTCCCCAGTGCCCCAGATTTCCAGTTCTCTCCTTGCCTGTGCTGGTTCTAAAGCAGGCTGCAGATGCTTGCTCCTCTATAGCAAAAGCAGAGCTGTGTTGGTGTCCCCCAGCCCCCCACCCAGTTTTCCAGAACCTGGTGACCAGTACAGCACTGGTGTGCAGACAAAAAAAAGTGAAAGTAAAGTGCTGACAACCCAAGAGAGGAGCACACATCAGCAGGAGGAAAGTCTGGCCCCAGGATGCGAGTGGAAAAGAGCAGATACGGAGGAGACAAAGGAAAGGAAGGAACAGGATTAAAGGCAAATAGCAGCTAAGTCCAGAATCAGACAGGACAGCTTGGTGGGATTAGCGCCTTCGTCTTTCATCTCCCCAGGGATGTGGGTATTTATTTTCCTTGCTGGCCGGGTCTGATGCTGGCTGCAGTCCATGAAGTCCTTGGACCAGCTTCAGTAAGTGGGAGCCGGGTGGAAATAGGAAAATGAGGTGGGACGCAGCTTTTGCAAAGACTGGGCACTGTGCCTGCTGTGCCAATGGCAAACCCAGCTCCTGCTCAGCCAGGGGTGGCTACGGGAATAGTCCTGGGGCTCCTACCTTTACTGATGTCCTCATACTCCAACCAGAGCTGCCGCTGGACCTGCCTGTTGGGGTACCAGATGGAGCAAGACTCCTCAAAGCCATACACGGCCTCTTGGATGTAGTGGTTGCCAAACTGGTCCAGCAGTGCCACAAAGTCCCTGCGGGAGGTGGCCCCATCCAGAGAGTGCAGTGCATTGCTGAAGGCTGGGGAGAAAACATGAGGGGATGCTCAAACCTCTGCAGATGCTCAAATCCCTGGGGATGCTCAGCCCTTGGATCCTCTACACATGCGATGTGTACCCAGCACCCCAGCAGCCACCACCCTGCATGTGATGCATCCATTACTGCCTCTTCTCCCCACATGCTTACACTGGGAGATGGTCAGCTGGTTGAGCCGGACGTGGTACATGACAGACTGCACCTTCCAGTGCTGTAGCAGAGGGTATCCTGACACCTCACTGAAGTTCACCATCCCTGCCAAGAGAGAACATGACGCTTGGACATGGGATAACCACAGCAGCCACAGCACCTTGCACCATGACCAGGGTGAGATGACAAAAGGGGAAGGGCCAGCACAAATCATATCTCCACCATCAGCTGTTCCACATGCATTAACACTGCAACATAGAAGGAAAACCCATGGGCTCACTTCATCCTGCTGGCCAGAAAATACAGCAGAAGATAATGAGCCTCCTCCCACATCCCTCCTGCCTCCCCAGACATGCCCAGGTGTGCTAATTGCTTTGTTAATGAGAGCTGCACTTTTGAAATGAGCTGTTAGCAGGCCTAGTCACTATCACACCATGGTTGTGGCCAGCCCAGAGGCTCTGGGGACTGAGCTGGACACGTGTGCACAGGGAAACCACCTTCCTATGTCCTTTGGGGCATCATGGCAATGCTGGGGTTAGGCAAGACCTGAAACCTTTTGGAAATGGCCAGGATGAGAGTTGGGGTGGTCAACCCAGAGACAGACCCCACTCCTGAGAGCAGAGTGACTAAGAAGCCACCAAGCCTGCAACAACACCCCAGAAAACAAACTGAGGGTTTTGGTGGCCTTTATTTTGGTGGCCAGAGCATCCCGCAGCGTGCTGCAGAGGGATGCTGGGACTCAGCCATCTCCTCCCCAGCGGTGCCACAGCCACACATCCCACGTAGCAAACCTCTGCTCAGCAGGGAAGCAGTGAGTCCTGCTGCTAAACAGCCCCACAGCAGGAGTTCAGGAGGAAAACAATGTGCATTCACCCTCCTCAGCAAGAAAGGGAGGCAGAGGATAAGGAGGATGAGGTCCTCTGCCTTGCAGTGCTTCTTCCTTCAGTGCTGGCTGCTACAAACAGCTTCAAAGCATTGCTCTTCCCTGCAAAGTGTTTATGCAAAAACAGCCCTTCCTTACTCAGCAGCTCTGCCTCTTGTGTATTCACAGCGATGCCCAGATCTGCCTACTGACAGCACAGATTTCACTTCTTTTCCATTTTTTTTTCCCCACCTTCTTAATCAGCCACAAAGAGCCAGCAGAGCAGTGGGAAATGAATAGGATAATTTGCTGGCTTCTGCCTCTTTGGAATTATTGCCACTGAATTCCCCAGTCCCTTCACGATGCTGCGGCTGTGGTGGCATCACCTTAAGTCACATCTTTGATATCCTATGGGCATTGCCAAACAGAGCTAGGACCCCACCTCAGTCCTCATGGCCCATAACACACCAACAGGACAAACCAAAACGTATTTGTGGTTTTGAATACCTCTTTACACCAGTGACTCTGATTTGGAAACCTATCAAACTGTCAAAACTATTTGGAAAACATTTCTGCTTGGAATAAAAAAAAGCCTTTTCGCAAATTCCCCAACTATCTGATGGACAATTGAGCTTTTACACCACACAATTAATTTGCAGCCTTTCCCTTGCAAATGGACAAGCTGGCAGAAGGCAGTGATGTTATAGGCTCCCCTTATTTGCTGTTGGCTGAAAGAGATATGGGAAATGCATCGCCTTCCCTTACAGCTGCTGATGCAGGTGGGCACTGGGTGCTGAAGCCAGGCTAAATGCATCTCATCTTTCAGCATCCCCCAAGAGGATGAGGGTACGGTTGAGCTCACTCACCAGTGAGGAATTCGGGGTCAGGTGTGGGGTCTGAGAGCTCCTCTTGGCACTGGTTTTCCAGGGGCACGGTGGCCACCACCAGTCCATCTGGCAACTGCTGCTCCAGGCCCCTGGCAAAGTTGTTCTGTCTGGAAGTACAGTGGGGAGAGGAGAACAGGGCAGGGAACAAGGGCCAGTGATCCATCCCTAAAACTCTACCAAGCACCATGCTCTTCCTCTGGTCATGACTTATGAAGGCCATTGTGGCTCTTGGTGGCCATCTTCAGATGAGCCCTTACCTGCAACCCATCCACCTCCTGCAAAGCTTGGCTAAATGTGGTTGGATCAGGGTCTTGGAGACCCAAGGGTTGCAGAGAGGATGGGAAAGGCTGACCCTACTGTTGGTCATCTCTCCACATCTCCACTCACCTAAACGTTCCTTTGAGCACTTGCCCTGGGGCCACCTCCTTGGAGTGGTTGTTGTAGCCATAGAAGACCTCCCCAAAGAGCGTCTGGTTCATGGGCAGCTCACGGGGCTCACCACAGTCCACACCATCAGGGCACGACTCTGAGATGAGCTGGCATGATCGCCCATCTGTACCCAGCTTGTAGTCCTCAATGCACCTGAGAAGCCAGCAGCAGGGCGCACCATCAGCTGCAGCCCCTCCAGTGGGGATCAAGGCCACCCCAGCATGGAATGATGATGGGGTACTCACCCACAGAACATGAGGATGTTGTAGAGCAGAGGGTCGTCGGGCAGAGGCACCATCTGCTGCAGGCACAGCTGCTCACAGCCCCCATTGAAGCCATCAGAGCAATCAACACCAACATGGCGGTCATAGCAACCCGTGCCATCCTTCATTGGGCTCAGGCCCGTCGGGCACTGGCAAAGGGAAAAGAGAGAGGTGAGATGAGGGTGGTGCTCTCAGAGGCCCCTTCATCAGAAAATAACGTTAGGGAAATATGAAAAGGTCACATCTTGCACCAAAACCAGCTCATACTGCAACAAATATTCATCCCAAGCTGGCCACGCACCACACAGCCCGTTGAGTCCAACTTGCGATCTGCGATGCAGCGGAAGTTCTTGCTGCAGCCCCCGTTGTCCCTGGAGCAGTCACGGACAGGACCAAAGGAGTCAAGAAGAACCTCCAGGCTGTCGAAGGAGGAGGAAGTCATCAGCTCTTCCCTGTAGGGAGTAGGAGGTGTTTCACCACTCTGTTTGGTGCCAACAAGGTGTACCCAGCTCTCACCAGCCCCTATGTCCTTTGGGGTGCCCCTTTGCTCCATGGGCACACCACCAGAATATTTGCTAGAGAAACTATTAAACAGCCTTGCCTTCACCTTGCTCACACCTACCTGACCTCCACAGCGTCCTCCATCACTGTCATGTCGGTCTTGCACTTAGCTGAGGGGTTGATGGCCAACTCAGCCGGAGGGATGACAAAGCTCTTGCTCAGTGGCAGCCACATGCCTTCCCCCAGTGTGTAGGTGAACCTGTCAAGAGAGTGAGCACGTGGGGGAAACTCCAAACCCCATCAATGCAGGGATATCATGCCAGGGCTGAGCAGGGAGTGCTGTTGCTGAAACACAGCCCTCAAACCTCTTCCCTCCCTACAAAAGGAGCTAGGTTGGTCCCAAATCTATCCCCAGCTGGATACAGGCTTCTCGAGCACCTATCTGCCAGGAGCATGCTGCTGGGGAGCGTAGGGAGCAGGAAGGATAACGAGAGATTATTCATGTATTTATTCCTCCTCTCCAAGGTGTCCATGGCTGCCGCAGCTCCAGGGCTAGCAGGGGGAGGCAGCAGAGGCAGGTGCTCTGTGAGATGCGTCAAGAAGGGACAAGTCTTCCAAATGCACCCAAATGACCCCAAAAAGCAGCAGTAGGATCTTTCCAGCTCGTATGCCCTCTAGGTGGTGGTACAGGGCACTAAGGTCAGCCAAGACATGGGGGACCACATGCTGCACCTTCCCCAGAACTAGCACCAGTAACTGAAGGGGAAACCCAAGGATTGGTGTTGAAGCTGAAGGCAGACTTACCGAAAAATCTTATCTGATGGCTGCTCACCCAGCACCAAGTCGAAGCCACGCTGAAATATGGTGTATGGCCAGGGCCTGGAAGAGAAACACAGGAGCATCATGCCAGCATCCCAAAATGCCTCCCCAGATTTGCACTGCAGCAAGTACCTGTGATGCACACACAAGGTGGTAAAATAGTTCCACGATTTTGGGAGAGCGGGGGATCTTTAGAATTTGGGTGTTCCTACACAGCTGGTGCATCCAGTGAACAGCATATCTCATCCTTTATTTTGGGGTACTGTAGGCTCCAGTCCCCCCCTTTCCCACTGCTGCAGCATCCCTGAGCCTCACAGCCCTGCACCCTCAGGCACCACCCACCTATTCCCATCATGGGAATGTCAGCACATGTCTAGGGACAGCTGCACCCATGGCCAGGATGCTTTGGGATGTGCAGCCCACACAGCATGGCCCCATTTGATGTGTATCCTTTGCAGAGTGTCTTCTATAGAGCATTCTTCGCAGAGCATTTCTTGCACAGGGTCATTTGCAGAGAGTCTAGCAAGTTGAAGACCAGCAATAAAATAAAAAGGAGTCCAGAGGAGTAACAGCCAGATCCAACCGAATCTCATTTGTAGAATGAGCTCAGAACTGGAGATTTTTCCATCCTGTCACCTTTAAAACATCCGCTGAGGGCACACATCCGCACGAGCAGCATGGCAAACACCTGGTGAGCCTGGGGATTTTCTCTGAAGGCAATTACAGCTCTCCTGCACAAGCACTTCAATTCCTAATCTGAAGTTATTTCAGCAAGGACACAAAAAAATCCTGATTGCGGGATTAGAGCACTGCTCATTTCCTGCCTGGGACACAATGGCACTGCTGTGACCAGGCACAGGATTACATCCAGCAGCAGAGCTCAATGCCCTGGATAAGGTCTGTGTGGATGGGAAGCAGTGCTCTCTTTGCACCTTGCCAGATCCTTGAATGCTGCCCACAGCAGCATCCCACACTGTCACAGATGGGCTTTATTCTCTCTTACCCACAGTGCACTGGGCTGGGAACAAAAGCAGAGGCAAGGTATTGTTCCTCATCAGCTTGGCTAGACAAATGGTCATGAAGAGCCGTGCTGCACTTCCAGTGGTTCTCAGCCCACAGTAGTGATGCAGAGGCAGGGTGGCCAGCCCAGGGATGCAAGAGCACAGTGCCATGTAGGTTAGATACATGGAAATCAGCACAAGGCCATTCAATAGCCCCTCAAGGGCACAATTTCCAACGATGCCTAAAAGTCAGGCAGTGATGGCTTTAAGCCAGAGCACTCCACCCAACGCATCTCTCCAGGAGCTCCATGTTGATTCTTCCTCTCATGAAGCTGAAAGTTCCCTCCTTGCTGCCTTGTTACTCCTGCTGCTAAAGATGAGGACACATCCTTCCCATCACTGTCTCTTCCTCTGCGTGGTTTTGCTACTGTTTCATTCCATCTTCCTTCTCCTATGCATCACTGGCAGGCTCCTTGCTGCTCTGCTTGCAGGTGCTTGCGTTGCACGGTCTTCAGAGCTCACAAAGTGAACAGAGATAGATTAGAAGCAGTACTGTGTCTGATCAGATTGGGTTAAACAGGCCAGAAAGGACAGCTCTTGGCTCCTTTGGCAAGCCTTGGCAAGCAGGTAGGCATCTGAATCAACAAAATGGGGTTCACTGGGCACAAGACCCAGCAAGCTCATCCAAGAGCATCAGTAAGTTCCTATAGACAAGCTCTACAATGGATCCCCAGCATGGGCATCTTTGCAAGATACATGGTGCTGAGCTGGTGGAAGGGAGAAAGGGGCTGAGCAGAAGATGCTGAAAAGGCACTGCACATGAGCATGGCTGCAATGCCACCAATTGGTGGTTAAGCACTGAAAACAGGCAACTTGACATCTGGTCCCTGAGCTGCTGGTGTTTTAGTGACTCCCACCCAGACAGTGGCATGAGATTGCTGTGCTGAACCCCCGCAGCCAAGCACCAGCCGCCGTGGCCACCACAGCCCTTCCCTGGTGGCTTCAAGCCCAGAGAAAACCAGGAACACACCTGCAGCACCCGCACCCCACACAGACCCAAGGGACACAGTCCAGATGTGGGCACAGTTGTGCAGGGCAGGGGGCAGGTGTCAGAGAATCATTAAGGTTGGAAAGACCAATAAATCATCCGGTCCAACCACCAATCCACACTTATGTCTGCTCTAGACCACATCCCTCAGTATGACTTCCATTGAACACCTCCAAGGATGGTGACTCCATTACATCCCTGTGCAGTCTGCTCCCATACCTCACTGCTCTTTCTGAGAAGAATTTTTCCCTAATATCCAACCTGAAATGTGATCCAAGAGATTATCTCCCATCAGCAACGCTCATCCCAGTACTACCACCAGCCCTGTTTCAGCTCTGCCTTGCAAGGGTTTCCCCCAGGCTTCAGCTTCCCACCTCCCTGCCTGCTGCCATCCCTTCCAAGCAGCTCTTTATTAAAAATGCTAATGCTGGCACTTTCTCTCCGGGCTGCTCATAAATCTGCAAGGAGAATGGGGCGGGGAGGAGGAGGCGGAGGGCTGGTTTGGTGAAAGGATCTGAAAGAAAGAGGAGCTTTTTATCTGGCCATCCTTCAGGCTCGCAGAGCTGAGGCACACAGCAGGGGATGGAAAAAGACAGAGGAGAAAAAAAAGATAGGCAGAAAAAGAGTGGGGGAAAAAAAAAAAAAAAAAAAGATGATGAAAAAAAGAGCAAAAAGAGTTTAAGCAGAAAAAGTGCTGTCCTTGTCACTTCCCTGTGTCCCCGGCTGCTCCACTGGATATGTGGGGATGGACGTGACTGGGTGCACAGCTCACAGGGGGAGAGATACCCCCCAAAAAATGGCACTACCTCAGAGGGTCTCAAGCCCTAGCAGAAAGGTGGGAAAGGGATGTATCTGCCCTCACGTAGTTGTCTGAGCCCACCTTGATGCAGTGCCTACCAGGCTGACAGGTCTCAGTGATGAAACTCACAGAGTCATAGAACCATCAAATCATTAAGATGGCAAAGACCACTAAGATCATCTAGTCCAACCATCAGCCCATGCCTGTGACCACTCAGACCATGTCACTCAGTGCCTCAATTATCTTCTTCTTAAAAACCTCCAGGGATGGTGACTCCAACCCCCCCATGCCCCAGATTTCCCTATGCAATAGTGAAGAGCAACAATAGCAGAAAATGGAAAGGCACGTTGACCCCCTTAAATGCAGAAGATCTAAGATCTCATTGTGCTGCCTTGGGTAAGAAGAACACATGGTGATGGGACAGCCATGGGACATCACATAATGAATCCACAGGCTCAAGAAGTATGAATGTGGGCAGGAAACAGCTTGCTAGCTGAAGGCACAATTAGCAATCTGATTTTGGGTAGTCATACCATGCCACAGCCACGGGAATTTGGTTCAAACAAAGTTGGCTGGATTGCTGGAAACCACTTCTCCTACCTGAGAAACGTTAGAAGAAAAGCCAAAAAAGCAGCTAATTAAAAATGCATAGCAGAGCAGAAAAGCAGACTGCTATCAAACAAACAGTGCAAAGCAGATTTGTTTAAAACAGCTGAAGAGCAGCACACAATGCAGGCGATCAAATTTATCTGCTGCACATGATCAAAAAGATCTCATTTTTGAAAAACTAGTGCTGATTTAGGGACCAGATGCGTTCGGTAAGAGATGCACTGGGAAGGTGGGGATCTCAGCATGGTATCCAAAATACATGCAGCACACAAAGCCTCACTGCTGTCACCAAAAAACTTCCAAAGCTCCCTGCTTTTCTGGCCTTCCCATTCAGAAGCAATGGGATCCTATGGGGCCAGACTCAGTGCCTGGATTGGGTCACAATATTGGAGGGGTTAGGAATGTATTAAACAAACACCTGTCAGAAATGACTCAGATGCCATTGGTCCCCTTGGGATGCAGGAGTAGCTGATTTCCAGCATCTCCAGAAAGATACTTGTTACACACCCAGCTTAAACCAAAATGCTTCACATGGCCACACTTTCCAGAAATCCTATCAACAGTGAAAGCTGCAGGCAAGGATGATGGAGTTACTGTTGGTTTCTGCTGCTACTGTTTTCCGAAACTAAAATCTGATGGGCACAAGGCAGAGGCACAAAATGATCCCTTTTTCACATGGCTTGAGAGAGAAGCTCTTGAAGGACAGTGAGGGAAACCCACAGCACTGAAGCACTCTGGGGAGCACAGGGAGGAGCAGGAGAACCATGGATATCTCCAGTATGGTCTAGGGCTGAGGAAGAAAGACAAAGATCTGCTTGTTTTCCGTGCCCCAGAGAGAAAAGAAGGTGTGAGATGCTGTGTATGATTTGTCACAGTATAACTGGTATCTCAGAAGAACCACAGAATGGCTGAGGTGGGAAGGGATCTCCAGAGGCTACCTGAGATGATGCTAAAGACCCCTTTGAATTAAGCAGAGCAAACAACTCCTTGAAGGGCAGGAATGCATTTGTCTTCCCTGTCCTTGGCTTCTCTCCTGCTTGCTACCATCTGCACTTTTTTTTCCCCCCAAAACTCAGCCTTTTCTCCCCTCTCCCTTTAGATGGAGCAGTTCAGCCAGGAAGAAGCTAGAGAAGAGTAAGGTGCATGGAAGCAGTGAGGCTGCAGTCCCACACCCAGCAGCAGCAAAAAGCAGAGCAGAAGGAAGCAAACACACCTACACATGTAATTACATGTGTTTACAAACAGCTTTGATGGATAAAGTCACTTGCCCCTTCACTTTGTGAGCAAGGTATGGGTCTGGCATGCTGTGAGTGGCTGTTGGCTCCTTCCAACCCACCCTGAGACACCCAACATGGACAACCAACCTCATCCCTATATGCCCCTGTCCTCATCACTCAGTGCTGCTCATGGGAAGAAGCAGGGGAAGACATGGGGAGCTGCAGACATCACCACAGGACACTTGTTCTCTGGGGATGAGACTGGGGACCCAACCATGCTGCTCCACATCCCCCATCTATGCATCCCATGAGGATCAAGCTGTCCCCAGCCCGGCTCTGCTCACCCAGAAGGACAGCCACCTCATCTCCATGGCCAGTACAGGGATTAATTGCTAAATGGCTTTAAAATGAAAGAAGGGGAGAGGGGCTGGGGCTGAGCAGCAGGGCCCTGCTCAGAGGGAGGCAGAAGCACAGCAGGAATTCTGAGGCCAGCCTTTGATGGCTTTCTCTTTCTAATGCACTAATGACTTCAGAGAGGGTGTTGGGCACTGTGAGTGAAGGGGAAGAGGCTGGAGGTGCTGGTGCATGCATGCATGCAGATTTTTGATGTCTAGGGTGGATCAGAAGTTTTTCCTTTCACGTTTTCAGGAGCATAAGGATATTGAACAGGCATCTCCTGGTGCAGGATGCAGAAGGAGTGCCCAGAAAGGGAAGAGGAGCAGCTTCAATGCTCTCTGGGGGGTTGTTTACTCTGAAACCTAATGACTTCATCAACGCCATTGTACCTCAGCTCTCATTCTGAACAGCACAACCCTCCTCTCCTGTGGAGTGGCTAAAGAGCCCACACCCCTCTGACCTCAGGGTTCACTGAGCTGATTTTAACTCTTTCACCAAAGGGGATTTCCCACAGCCCTGCCTTGCTGCTGCAGCCCAAACTGGGTGCAGCGCTGCGGGCACACTCACCCCTGGTTGGTCCCCCACTCATTCCGGATGCAGAGATGCTTATGGACAGGGTCTTTCATGTAGCCCTCATAGCAGAGACACTCACCTACAGAAAGAGGGTGCACATCAGGGACAGGGGGCCCTGCAGGACCCCCACCATCCCCCGCTTACCAGTCTCAGGATCACACTGATGCTCGCAGGGGTCAAGGAGGCGGCGGGCACAGAGGTCCAGGGCCCAGGGGCCACTGGAGTTTTGCTGGGAGAAGAGGACGACCTGCGCCGGGTTCAGCCAGTCGCTGGCGTCCAGCTGGCTGCCCTCCAGCAGGATAAAGCGGCTCCCTGCCGCCCGGGGGGCAATCAGCAGCTGTCCCCTCCATCTCGCAACAGCACTCTCCATCCCATCACAGCACCCTCCATCCTGTGAGAGTTCCCTCCATCCCATGATAGTCACCTCCAAACCATCATGGCGCCCCTTCACCCTATGATGGTTCCCTCTGCCCTGTGATTGTTCCCTCCATCCCACAACAGTGTCCTGTTAATCCACAATAGTCTCCTCCATTCCAGTACAGTGCCCTCCATTCCAAGAATCCCAGGCCCCCTCTGCCCCACAATGAACCCCTCTGTCCTACAAACCCACCTCCACCCCAGCCTGTATTCTCTAAACCATGTCAGCCCCCTCCACCCAGTGTCCAAGCCAGCCAAACCCACAATGGCCACTACCCATTCTTTTGTTGTGCTGATGCCATCCATCTCACCCATCCCACATCCACCTCCTGCATCCCACATCCATTTCCTCTACCCTATGACACCCAACTCCATCCTGTGCTTGTCCCACCATGCCATGCCCATTCCCACCAAACCTTGCCCACACTTGTATCCTTCATCCCAGTTTTCCCTCAATCCTGTACCCACTCCACACCTGTTCCCTCCATCAACTCCCCTCTCCTCCATCACAGCTCCCACCCATGGCTGACATAGGTTGGCAACTATAGGACTGTGGTCACTCACCATCAGCAATGAGGTGCTCAGGGACATGGAGGGTGATCTTGACAACAAGGGGGCAGCTCATATGGGAGGAACACACCAGGCTAATGATACAGCTTGTCACACTGATGAGGGTCAGAGTGGTCTTGTTCACAGGGCTGCGGGGGGACCCCACTGCAAAACACAAAAAGTGCATTCCAATCCCAAACCCAACATAAGAGACAAAGTAGAAAACAGGGCAGAGGTGGGGGAAGCTCACTGCCCAACCTCCTGCATTCACCTCGGCTGCGCCTCCGGCTCCGAGAGGGGTCTGTGTAGAAGGTTAGCTGGGGATCAGTGTCTGCCTCTGTCCCCGAGTCCCCTTCGGGGTTCAGAAAGGCTGAGCCAGCTGTGGGTGACACCAAGCATGGTCACAGCCATGGCAGCACCCAAACACATCCCATCCCCACACTGCCACAAAGGGCTGCAGGGTGGGTAGGCACAGAGCAGCACATCCTGCCCCATCCCATCCCATCATTGGTCACCTCGCGCCTTGTTGTTGATGCGCTTGCGTTGGCTGCTGGAGGTGTGGGACAGCAGGGTGGCCTGCTGGTGGTTGGAGTCCACGGGGCTGGTGGCGATGATGTTGTCCTTGTATTTGTTCATCAGGGACAGCTTTGCATTATCACTCCCTGGGCGGGAAGAATTGAAGGCAACATCTTTCAGGGAGAAAGACCAAAAGAAAAGAAAAACAAAAGGGAGGTGAGAAAAAGATTTCCTTGGATCGATCCCCAGCATCCATACAAGATGACTGGGGTTGATGGACCAGCCTGCTCCCAGTGCAGCTCCTCAAAGCCCTAAGGGGACCAGCACATCCACCACGCCTGGTTAAATGTGGAGATTTAACATTCAAGGCACTCCTGCATAGCCAGGTCTGCAAAGAAGGCTCCAGAGAGTTTTAGGAAGCACACTGCACTGTCAACAGATGGGCTTCTGGAGAGTCACTAACATCTCACACGTTCAGAAAAACGTGACAAAATACTCAAGGCAAAATATATATATATATGCAATGATGGGGAGAAGAGAAGATGGATATGGTTTGAGGGACATGGATTTGTGGGCATGGTGGTGATGGGTTGATGGTTGGACTAGATGACCTTAAGGTTGGATGAGACTACTAATGATTCTATGGACCTAGCTCAGCCCCATTGCTGCCCGACCTGGCGTGAGGTCCATGCTTGACTTCTCATTGCAGCCCTGCAGCGAGTCAAGGGTGCGGGTGACCTGGCTGGCAAAGTCCTCACCGCCATTCATACATTCCCGCTGGAGGTGGTGCCGCAAGTCAGTGATGTCATACTCGTAACCATCCAGGATCGGGGTCTCACGGATGCTGAGGGTGCCGCTGGAGTTGTGGCCCTGCACACGGGCATTGCGCAGGCTCTCCCGCCCGTGCCCCCCAATCAGCACCGAGGGGATGTAGTGGATCTCATTGGCAGCTTCGGCACTGGCACTTTTCTGAGGTTGTGGCACACGGCGCCGCTTGCACCACCGCCGCCGGGTGTAGAGGATCATCACCAAGCAGAGGATGGAGAGCAGTAGCGCGATCATCCCTCCCTGTGGGCACAAAGCAGCAGGGTTCAGCAGGGACTGCAGAACAGCCCCGGGAAGCGGGCTGGGAGCAGCCTGACCACACCGACAAGAGCTCCTGGCACTGCAGGGTGAAGCTCGCCTCGAGCAGGGCTGGCTTTGAAGTCGCCACTGAGCCATAAAAAAGCAGCATTTAAAGCAGAGCGTGGTTTGTTTGTGCTCTCCTGCAACGTCTTTGAAAGCAGCAAGCGGGTTTATTATAGGCAAACACTCCTGCAGGCAACTTTTTCTGACCCATTTCCAGCCACTTTCAATGCTGTCACTCTCAATCTCGGTAGATTTTCTCAGGGCATCCTGTGGAAATTTCAGTGCAGATTAAGTGAGATGAAGGCTTGGGACAGCAACTGAAGCAAGGTTTGGGGGATGCAGAATGGAAGAACTCGGTCCCCACAGCAGCCCTGAGTACACCCAGCCCCACCACCTCCCATCATACCCAAGGTCACCCAAGACGTCACCACCGCAGCACGGATGGAGGCGGCGAGATGAAAGCTCCAGCTGGCTCCTTGGTCTGGTCTGCCAGGAATAATAACAACAACAACAATAGTGAAAAAAAGAGCACATGGAGCCAGCTGAGAGCTGCCTGTCCGGCCGTGCCTCCGGTCCCCCTCTTCCTTTTCATGAAATAGGTGTTCTTGATAAAATAAAATAGTAGTCATAATCTGCTCCATTAGGACCAAACATTAAGGAAATTATTGAACGAGGAGCGGGAGATGGAGCTGGGAAAGGAGCCCTAATGGCCATTATGGCTTCGCCCTCTTCCATTCCCAGGATAATGGAGCTGCAGTGTATCCTCACTGCCCACCTCCCAAAATTTCTTTAAAAGCAAAAAGAGAAAGACATAGGAGGAGACGCCAGCAGTGGAGGAGACCAGCAGCCTTGCAGACACATCTCTCCAGGCAGGAACCAAGACAGTAAGTCTGTCACTGTGGATGAACAGTAGTACTGGATTCTCACCTGGGTGTGCTCTCCTGTCTCCTCTCCACGGGAGCACGGAAAACCTTCATCCTTCCCACTGGGACTTGGGCAAAGGACACATGGGGACCCAGAGCTAGGAGGGTTTCCCGCACGTTCCCCACGCAGAGCATTGTCATGATGGATAAAGCCCCTTGCTTACACTACACTCACCAACCAAATGGAATGATAGAAAATCAGCCTTGAAAACTACATGCGACTTTGACCCCAGGCACAAAAGCCAACCTCTGTTTGTCAAGACAAAGGATGCTGCTGGAGCTGAGTGATGGAAAAGCAAGGGAAAGGGAGGACTCAATCTGTACTTATACATTTTGGTGCAAGAATCACAGGCATCCTTTTACCACTTCGATAATAAGACTCATTCCATATGCTCCTGCCTGGATCTGGGTATTCAGCAGTCATCAAAAAACCAGTCCACAGCAGCAGAGTGGACTGAGTGTGGGGCCAGCATCTCCCCAAGGCAATGCTCTCTCTTGGGGAAGGAACCAAAATGAGGAAAAAGACCAAAAGTGGTTTGGGGTTGGCTTTGCTAGTGATTTTTTTTTTTTTTCCTCAAGACTAATCAAGTGCAAATGATGGAGGAGAAGCCTGGCCTCCGGCATCAATCTGGAAGAGCTACGGCCTTCTCATTAGGGTAGGCACCATTAAACAGCCTGTTTGCAGCTGGCAACACATTGTCTCTGGCTAATTATCTCCCAATGGCTCAAAAATGGTCAGTCCTTCAGACTTCTTCAAGATTAGGAAAAATAAAAACACAGCCCCCACCACCACCTCCTCCCCCCCCCCAGCCCAGATCTCTGCCCTGCCCTCCTTTCTCTGCCATTAAATCTTTTCCCTGCGGTTCTGCACGGGGGACTCCTGCATGGAGCTGCACTGAGCAAAGCAGTGGTGACAGTGCCTGGTGGCACTGTGACACCACTGATGCAGGCACCCGAGCAAAGGGCTGCCAAGGGAGTCACCGTGAATTAACCCCGTATTAAGCTGGATGCAGCCTTCAAAGCCCAGGGTGAAGGATTCCTGCAGAAGCACTGGGGTACATTTAGGTGGTGGAGAGCATGAGTCATTTGGAGATGTGAGTTCTGGGACAAGTGTAATGCAGCCCAGTGCTCAAGCATCCTGTACAGCACCCTATCTGCCTCCGTCCCAAAGCAGGAGGAGAAGGGATGCACGTACCATGACGGAGATGTGCAGGATCCTCAGCTCCTCCTCGGCCGACTCGGTCTGGGGTTCCTCAGTGGGCTCGAAACCAGGCAGGTTGGGAGCCCCATCCTGGTGGTGGATGTGGAAGAGCAGAGTGCCATTCTCCAGCCACTGCTGCCGCCAGCGCACCAATGGGATGTCATCTGTGTTGCCTGAAATCTCTGTGAAAGCAAATGGGGTCATAAGAGGGCTACCAGGGGAGTATCCACCTCATCCAAAAAGTGGATGTAGGGTGCAGCCAGGGGGTGGTGTATCACCACGGATGGCCACCAGCATCCCTGAGGCTCTAATTCAGCCAGTTTTTGCCCATGTGCTTCACATTGCATGCAGTCCCAGCCGCAGGGAGCAGAGAATACGAAACAACTTCTCAGGAGCGCTAATGGGATCACTGGGGCTGTGCAGCTAATTACTGTAAACGGAAAATATAATGGCTGGAGAGATGCGCACGTGGCTGCAATCACACCTGCAGTGCTGGCTCCCACTGAAGTACGCTCAGAGCTTTCATGTTTTTGCCCACACATTGCAGCTCCCCACACAGGACACAGCCCCAGTACCTGCAGAGATACCTCTATGTTTTGCCCAAGGACCCTGACTTTTCTAAGTGCCTTCAGCTAGAGGATCTTTGGCACTAGGGCAGATGGGCAGAGCTGAGCTGGGTAGTAATGGCATTGGATGAAACCCAAGCAAAGCAGCAGAGGCTGCATGCCTAACCAAGCCACATGTGCTCAACTGGTCCAAAATTGCATAGACATAAAATCATCAAGGATGGAAAAGACCACTAAGATCATTGGTTCCAACCCCAAGCCACCCCCACTGCACCCACTATCCATGTCCCTCAGTGCCACATCTACAAGATTCTTTAAAACCATTTCAGAGATGAGGCTTAGCACAGTTGGGTGACACCGGCACATCACCATGGCAGAGTTGGGCACAGCTTTAACCGCCTGCACACAGGAAGCCCTGATCTTACAGCTCCAGTGTGCTATTTCTACTTCAGCTATTCATTTTTTTTTCCTCTGAAAACACAAACATTATTTACGTTTGCTGTCACGACCACGAAAAGCACAAAGAGTTTCTCCCTTGCCATACGGGTCAGTCCGGTGTGGTCTCATTTATACTGTGTGTTTCGGTGGTGCTGGGAACCAGCCTGAGCTCACTTAGCAAATTGTCATCCTCATTTTGTTCGTCTCAAACCATCTTCAAATGAAAACTGGAATTCAATTATCGCGTCGAAAAACAACATTTTAAATTTACTGTTAATTAATTTCATTAGGCTGCCTTAAGTGAGCTAGCTACCAGACGGGGGGGAAATGCATCAAAAACCAAGTCCAGCCCTTCCAAAGTGATTTGATTAATCAAAAGAAACATTAATGAGTGAATTGGCAGGCGGTTTCTGCTCAGCACGGGCTGCATTTCTGATGGCAATCAGCGTGCTCTCACTGTCCCAAGCAGAGAGATGCTGAGCTCTCCTTGGGCTACTGAGAAGCAGAGCTAGGAGGAGTGCACACATCCCTGCAGCCAGAAGCACTTTTGAAATTCCCTCTAGCCACTGAGCTGCATGTTTCAGCACAGGATCCCCTTTGAAAATCTGGTCCCGGGAGCTTGAAAGAGCTGATCTCCTCCTCTCCCACCTGGTCTTTATTCATGGGCTGAAAGGGGAAAACAAGCTTTCCCGCTTTGTCAACTCCCTGCGGCTTCCCAACTTCAAATGAACTAGCTCAATTGAAGAAAATATTCTCCCCACACCTGCTTGCTAATGTGAAATTAAGAGTAATTAAGGCAAGAGCTTTTACGCACAACAGGAACTCAACGTCCTGACATTTTGAAAAATGTAAATACCAGCATTTCCCCCATTGTGAAGACTGGAAATAATAGATACTAAGTATACGACATTGTGACATTTAGAAAGCCGGAGTAAAAGATGTTTTCCCCTGATCTGACATATCATTGAAAAATCAGCACCCTTCAGCTCATTAATATTTGAGGAGGACTCCTTGATGGAAGTTATTTAAATGATTAATAGATTATAGTAAATTTAGGCCTTAAAATAGGTTGTCATAATTTCAAATTTATTTAAACAGGCTTCTTTCTAAAAAGAATAATGTATTTCAATGAAAAAGGGATTCTTTTTTTAAAAAGAGCACAACACGTGAGCTTCAGGGCTGACACGTGCGATCCTTCTCCCACCCACCACCCTCCCTCCTGCAGCTGCATCACATACAGGTCAGAGGTGCTAGAAACAGGGAAAACACCCCAGGAATCAGCCCCCATCACTCCAAACAAGTAGACTGCGATCTCTACATCACCACGAGGGGCAATGCTCCTCCACAACCTGGGTAGCAGAACTTCGTCCTTGGATCCCCTCCTCTTCTCCCTGATGGTTTTAGCAGCACTGCACCTGCCCCACCCCATTCTATTTCTACTTTAAAAACAGATCTACAAATATTTTCCTGTCCTGATAATGTTTCCCTGGAGCTTGGCTCAAGCATGGCCACACTTCCTTGTCTCTTTCTCTCGCAGCCCCCAGTCCAGTACTTCTCACTTTTACTTTTTTCCTATTCCTGAAGCAGACATCTCATTGCCTGATAGGACACACTGCTGTGACCCATGGGGATCGCTGCGGCCATTTATTGGGGTGCTGATGGAGATCAAGTTCTACGTTAGGACTAGTGGGTGTCAATCTCATTGACCAGCCCAAAAACATGGTTCAGGAAACTCTGGAGGAGGTGGGGAAGGCAGAGAGAAAGCCAAAAAATGGCAGCAGGGAGAGGATAATTTCAAGTTCAAAGTTTGAAAGATATTGATGATAGGCCTTGTCCCTGCATGGCTTTCATTAAGGCCTGGATGTGAAGCCATTAGCACTAGTATTAACTTCTTGCACCTCTGTTAAAAAATAGCCTGCCTGGGTCAGGGGTTAATAACTGTAGGACACCACTAATTATGCTGCGCCATGTTTGCCTGGTATCAAGAGTGGTCCAGGTCTTTTTTCCCATCCACGGGAGCAGCAGCCCCAAAGACCCCAGCAGATGTGTTCAATGTAGCCACTGTGGTGCTCCCCTCTCAGAGCATCTGTAAGCAAAAAGAGCAAGCCAAGGATAGGAGAGCAGGAAAGTCTGGATGGTGTTGCTGGAGTGCTGGAGGCAGTGGAGTTATACCTGCTGCATTATAGATCACCTGAACAACTTAATTTTCTTGGGACAGCCACCCAGCCTGGAGCAAACCCTGCCTTTGGGCTGTGAGCATTGCTTTTCAGCAGGCCAGTACTGCGTGTGCACACAGAACCAATGCTCTCAAGCCCCTGCAGTGTCAGCAGTGTTGCCCCAACACTGACACACAGGCATCATCAAGACCCTGACATGTGCAGGGAGAGGAAAACGCACAAAAAGAAGAGCACTCCCTAAAAACAAATGCAATCTTTTGAGCAGGGGAAGAAAAAAGGCAAAACATTTTTTGTTTCCATTTGGAAGCATTTTGCGCTAATAAATGCCTCTGATTAGGCAAATGAACTCTGCCATAATGCCAGTCTCTGCAGAATGCAGCTTTTGACTTGGACTTATACTTCCTCATTAACATTTAAACCTGGCTTATTTTCCATCGGAACCCAACTGTGTTTTTATTTAAGTTCCCCATTAGCTTGTGCATTTACTCTGTGCCTGAACCTTGCACGTCCTTTAAACAGCTCTACCCTAGCTGAAACAAGCCCTGGTCCAAAGGCCTCTAAAGCACGCAGTAACTCGGGAGCCCATCCCACAATGAGCCGTTGTGCTGGAACCTCAGGATGTGATTCATGGCAATTCAGATGTCAAAATGCATATCTTGATATTTAAGCAGTTTTTTACCTGAGATTTTACTGACACATCTTTCATGGGATAATACTCTCATTTTTTATTGACCTGCTTAAACAAAAATCACATTCACCGCTGACTATTCATATTTTATTTGCAATTTTTTCCCCCCTCTCCAGGCTCAGGTAGGGATGCTAACTTGCTCTGTAGGTCACCCTGCCTTTCTAACACAACCCAGATTTTCCATAGCAGCAAACAAGTCTCACCCTATCTGTTAGGTACCTGCGTCACGGGAGATGGCACTTGGTGCAAGATTACAAACAGATCCATAGAGCCACGACAATCTGGAAGCTCAAGGAAGAGGCATCCAGCTATATCTGGAGGTGTTCCCCAGATGGGTCCAATGTCACCCCACCATTTTGCTTAACCTGAGGACAGTACACATGAAGCCATAAGCTACTGTAGCAAGGCTGACAGCTAACCAGGTTTCTCTTTGAAATGCTGGGTGCCTTTGCTTTTGGGAAGGTCATCAAGAACCTTTTCAAAGCTGTACCCATGTTTTACCATGAAATGGGATTTTTATCCCAAATATGCTACAGCCCTAATTTGTCCCTTTCTTTAACAGCAAAGCCCTCCATCACTTCTGGAGTGACACTGTGTCACACCACTGTTTCCAGAGCAAAGGACACAGATTAATCATTAAAAAAAAAAAAAAAACACAATTCACCTGGGTTTACTACACAGCTGTTGACCCTACAACATCACACATCTCATTTCTCCGCTCTTCTCTGCGGACACAAGGACATGCTCAACCACACCTGTGGAACATCCACTCCAAGGTTATTTACCACCACATCCATCGATTTTGACCGAAAGCTGCAATAAGCAAGTTGGGATACTTGTTGGTGTTTGGTTTTCACTTCTGTTTTATTAATAAGGTCCCATTGACCGTAACTATGAGGTAGGAGATGCACGATGAGAACAAACCCATGTCTTGAACTAACACTCAGGAAAGCACCTCTGCTCTATGATCATGAGGAGAAAGAAAAAAAAAAAAAAAAAAAACAAACACAAAATTCCACACCCTACACCATAACAGTAAAATACATTCCAGCAATTTAAGAAATGCAACATTAATATTTATGCCCTGGAAAGGACGACATTTGTAGTAGGTATCCCATCCCAACACCCTGCAATACCATCACATCATGCCCTCCAGAAGGAAGCCCAGGTCTCCATGGAAAGAACCCAAATGATGGAGAAGCTCTCAGTTAGCCAAGAAAAACTACTGCTCTGGCTAGACTGCTTCCCAGCAAAACCCAGTGCTATTTAATCTTTAGTAAACTGGAGTCACCATCCACCAGCTCCTCCTCTGC